TAATACCTATTGTATTTTACGTAATGCAACCTGTGAAACCTGCTATAGCAGGTAAAAAAATTCATGTTACCTTACTTCAAGTTACCATAGGAGTTCCCAAAATTATTACAATTAACCCAAAATGGTTATATAAGTCTAATCTTGTGGTTATGATGTCAAACTTTTAATTCAATATTTTCGATTTTAAAGCTTCTAACTTACGTCGCCAGGGTGCGAGAGCGTCAAAGCATTTATTTTTCAAGAACTCAATAATGATAAAGTGAACAGAGCGTCAAATTCTTTTTTATTTTATTGATAATGTATTATCTTTCCTCAAAATATATTGGATAGTATACGAGCAATATTATCATACTTCACCCTTACAATTGAAATGGATGTGATTTTTGAATATTCATTAAAAATATTCCTTCATCTAATACCAGTATAAAAAAGTAACGGCATGAAGTAAACCTAACTATTTGATAACTAAGTATAGGTAAATATTAGATGATTAATCTAGATAATAAATAAAAGCCGAATGATGAAAACTGTTGCTCCATTTCAAATTTCCTGCAACGAGAGTGATTATAGGAAGGACATTTTGGTCTTCACAATTGCTTATTTTCTTATTTATTTATTCATAAAAAGGGCATGAACTGGAATTTGAACCTTGGTCCATTTAAAGGCAAGCAAGGATCATAACCAATCACACTAAGTATATTTGTTGTATCTATTTAAATTCAAACACACACGAACCTAAATTATGAAAATCATATGACTTTTTTAACGATTAGTTGGCCACTAAATCTCCCGTAAGTACTTATTTGGTGTTTTAATACTTTGATTATTTTAGTTGTAGTTTAATACTTAATTTAAATTTCTATCTATTTTATAAATATACAATAACCCTAAAATTGCAGCCCAAATATCACTGGTTCGAATATTGCATATCGAATTGCAATATTAAAAAAGTAGAAGCAATATCGACTTCTTAAATTAATATTATTTTTCAGAATTACTATGGAGAAATTATATCTTTGTGCAAACTATATGAGACTGGTTCTTTTAATGGTTTAGTCGGGATAACCGCTACATTTTAAACTTCTTCATAATCTGGCATGATTGGATCCAATGATCATTATACAAGATTGTGTTTAATAGGGTGGCTCATTTCACCACTTTTTGGCGTGTTAATGAATTTGTAGGACAATGACAGGTCTACATCTACACTCATCACAATCTACACATCATATAAATGTGAAATGTGAAATGAGAAAAGAGGGATTCCATTTCAAATTTGATGCGTACAGAGCAATTTTTTAGGGGTAAATTTAGAAGATGCCAGTGTGGTCGGTCTGTTGAGCACGAAAGTAAAAATATGTTTTCATTTAAACGGGCCCAAACTGTTATTTGGCCCACTAATCGTGCACCCATCGCCAATGCAGTCAAATTCGGGATTTTGATCGTAAAATCGTAGGATTTTAGGATTTTACTTAGGGATTCCGATCTTGATTTTACTATAAAATCGGTGGACCTTAAAATCGTTTAAAATCGGGACTAAAATCGTTAAAATCGTAAAATAGTACCGAAATCGGGATTTTGATCGTAAGAGAACAAAATAGGTGGTTTGAGCCAATTTAAAATAAGTATAACTGTTTCAGCGGAAAGGGCAATGGAATCTTCTCAGATATTTTTCTATTAGAAAAATATTCAAAAATAATAAAAATAACCAAATTATGGTTCGGTTAATCTCTTTCCCTTCACCCCATTTAACGTATTGGTAAAACACCTGCCCTAATATTGGAAGTATGTAAGAACTAACATCATTATTAACTAATTAATTCATTAATGAATATATTTGTACCAAGCCACTAACATTACTTATTTTATTGGAGTTCAATTATTTTTAGTTTTAAATCATACTTAGTAGACGATGTCGAAATATTACTTTGAGTTAAACAACCTAGACATAATATGAAAATAAGAGCCAAACCCATGAACTATATCCCTTCATCATGAATTATTTTGAGTTACACATTAAATAACAATTAAAATAGTGATTTTGGAACATTAATCTTGAGAATTATCTTATGGAAAAAAAATCTTCCGAATTATCATTTTAAATGCTATGTGTCTTTGTGATATTAATAATTTACCTTATTAATATTCTTATATGCTATGTTCTATATGGTACTTAAAATCCTACGATTTTACGATTCGATTATACGATTTTGATTTTACCCCAGTTTTCGATTTTAGGTAAAATCTCGATTTTAACTGCTTTGCCCATCGCAACCTCTCCAAATCTTCCTATTCTACTCGCCGGGTCATCTCCTCCACTACAAAATATCTCCTCATGTACTCAAAGTTCTCACTGAAACCTAATATCTACAACTCAAGCGCAGAGGGGGCAACCGATGGATTGTAGCGACCCCCACTATTTTGATAGCTAATCAAGAAGAGCGCGTTTGTTTAGTTGTATGGTGATTCACTTAATTAACAATTTTTATTCCGTTGACAGCCTCCTCTCCGCAATTGTATTGTGTTCACGAAGATCTGAAGGCGCAAGTGCAACAGGTCCAGGGGTAAACAATATGTATAAAGCGTTGGCCAAATTGAATTGAGTCATTCTACTTGGAATATGAAGATTTTTGCTTAATTGCTTTGGTTCGTGATGCAACTATGTTATGTTTGAAGGTAGACCAACGCAAACAACAGCACAGCTCCAGGGCTATTCTGCACATTAGATAGTTGGGGCATTAATTGATAATTATTTGGGATTATTCCTACAAGTACATAATTTGGAACGTGCCTTTATATTGCCTTGATTAATAGTTGTTTGAGATTTTTCAAATGAGTGATTTGACATGTTAAACTCTCTTATTTTTGAAAATGGAGTCTTCGAAGTGGAATATGAAGATTTTGGATTAAGCTTGGTTTCGTAACGCCCTTATGGGTGTTTGTTCTCTAAAATGCAGCTGTCTTTCAAAGTGCCCGTTGCAAATGGCAAGTCAGGATACAACGATGGTACCGGTACACGTTTATATCATTAGTAGGTAGCAGATTGTGTCCATTCTACTATATCATTTAGCTAAATACTTAGTTGTTCTTTTCAACTAAAAATTATGCTTAAATGCTGTGATTGGCCTCAGAAATGTATGTCTTTGCATTAACTGTTAATGATTGTGAGTTTTGGTTTAATGGTGAAAAGTCCATTTATTTAGAAGTCTAAATTGGGCAAACCTATTGGACAATAGGAATGTCATACATTAGTGTCGTGGGAGGTTTGTTTGATGTCTCAGGGTTTTAGATTTTTAAGAAGGTTGTTTGTTGTGGCAGAGAGTCCCTAAAGCTAGCGAGGTATTCCTATGAAGGCTTTTTCTTTGTTTGACTTTTTCTCGCCTTTTTTCTTATCTCTTTTTCTATTTTTGGTTTTTGTGTGCTACCTTCAGTTGCTACGTCTTCATTTGTGAGCCATCTATACTTTTCTTATTCAGTGCCTAAAAATCATATATACTCGATTGCATAGTAGTTACTAATAGATACATTTATACCAATAGAGAGATTTTAAGTTTTATCAGTTGTTAGTTTTAATATTTACTTACATTGGTTGTTTATGTAGTTTTCTTTGTAATATTTCTCATTATACAACTAATTACTATGGCTACGTAGTTGACAACCACATGCCTTGAATCCACCGGTTTGCCTTGTTGGGGAACAGAAATCCACCAACCAACCCAATGAGGTAGACGCGTGCATATCGCTCCACCTGATCTTCGGGGGTGTCTGACCCTAAATTAACCTCCTGTTGGATGTGTTCAACAAGCCACGGGATTGAAACTTGCCCCGCATTGGGCGGTGGATGCCCAACCCCTTGAACAAGCGTTGTGGTCGGCAAAGCAGATCGTTGTCGATATCAAGCAACATGAAATGCCTCAGCATGTGCAATCCCGTCCTCTCTAGATAGGGCTCCAGTCGAGGATGCCAAATAGACAATCGACATGTCCTTCGATGAATGATGGGAATAAGTGATTCCTACAAAACAAATAACAAAACAAAAAATACAATGTTGTTAGAAAAAAAAAGCAAAATAAAAAGTTATAACCTAATGAAATAATTTAAAAATTTATACGGTACGGAGTGTCTACCGGATTATTGTCCCATATTGCACGGGAGCGATGTTGTTCTTGCTCGTTTAAATATTTTCGATCCCTTGGGCCAGGATCGATATACAAACGAGGGTCGTATATCTTAGCACCCGTCTATAAACAAATGTGAAATGAAATTAGATTATTTCAAACCCATTTAAAAAAATATCACAGAAGAAAAAAAATCGCACTCTCAGAGCCTCTTCGTCCATATTTGCCGAAAAGCTGGAGAGAGTATCGACGAAACATTAGAGCAAATGATTGAAAACAAAATAAAAACGCTAGTAATTCTTTCTGATGTGGAAGATCGGACTTAGCCGCAACCACAGAGCATACTTAGAACGAGACTAGAGTGAAGTAATGGAGGGAGAAAGAAGTATAAAAGTGGTGGTGTAGTTTGGAATAGGGGGGAAGGAGTGGTATTTATAGTGAGGACCACAGAGCATTCCCCGCTCTGGTCGAAGACGGTGAATCAAACCCTCTTTCCTCGAAGACGGTGAAGGGCACGGTTCGATAACGTGGCTTGGTTTGAGGCGTCGGATCTAGGAGAAAAACCAGAATCCGCGCCTCACCGCATCGGACGATAACGGTGAAAGGCGCGGGTGACTAGGATTGATGACGTGGAACGCGGGGTATTCCCCGCTTTCCTCCAAAACGGTGAAGCGCGATCAACACCCTTCCACGTCATCTATCCTGGTCACTCGCACTATCACCATGGTCGTCCGATGCGGTGAAGCGTGATCCGTCGTTTCCTCGTTTTTCTCTAACGCGGTGATAGTTTCCCCGCTTTTGTCCAAAACAATGATACATTCACCATTTTTCTTTGCAGCGGTGATGTTGTTCATTGTCTTGGTCGACAACGGTGATGATCAAACTGCTGTATTTTGGAAAATATTTTCATTAGTACTGTATTTTGGGAATTTTTTTTTAATAACTAGTACATTCTGGAATTTTTTCCATGGTTGACAATATGGGTTCAGATCAGTTTCTAACATGAGAAATATTGGCTTTTCTCTCGGTTTTGACGTTGACTCTGTTTCAAACGAGCGGTGACCACCAACAGGCTAAAACGTTTTAGCTTATGGAAGAGTACCATTCAACTTTTTGTTGGCCTGTACATCGATCCTATTTCAAAATGGTTATGAAAATGCTAGGTTTTCCATGGAGCTGAAGGAGGCCAGATGGGGGAAAGCGTTTACTAAAAGAGGCAACTCTGCTGTGTGCACGTCCAAGAACAAGCTTCTGATGGTTTTGACTTTTTGAGACAATTTGATGCAGAAAGTGACGAGGCCAATTGTGTCCAATTTTACAATGCAGTGTCATCTGTACTGAAGTAAAGCAGTATGAACAGGGTAACTAAAGGCTAAAGCCAAAAGCACCGGGAATGTACATCACATGTTTGTTTTTATAGGAATGAGGTTTTACTGTACATCCTTCTTTGTTTGAGAAACAGAGAGTAAATTTGTACCTCGAATAATCACCAAGGGCAGAACAAGCTTTAGACAAGGAGCATAGGAACAGCCTCGCGTGGAATTAGATATTATGCAGTGCCTGTACTTGGGGCTGCCTCGAGGTGGAAAACAAGTTGCAGAAACATGCAAAAGAAGTAAATGTCGATGTTATCACCACCAATTTACCAAATCCAAGAGAGTCTAGCAAACTCTACCTTTCATATTCTGCTGATATCCCGACCAAACACCATCGTTGTAAGCCAGTTAACAGCAACGTAGAACCGGTTCCTCCAGCTTACAACTCGTGTAAGATATGCTGACCGCCATATAAACCAGCTTAAGAAACCCGCCAGGGATATCCCTTTGCCCTCCTGTTTTAAAAAGATAAGTAAAATGAATGCCCCCCATCAAGTGATGTGTGTTAAAAGCTTTATATGAAAGAAAGAAAGAAAGAAAGAAAGAAAGAAAGAAAGAAAAGAGAGAGAAAGCAAGAGAAGGGTCCTGACTTTGCTCTTTCTAAGATCCACGAGAGCCTTGTACCGCCCAAGAGTAGCCATGCTTCCCATATGTTTGTACACAAATGGGTCACCAAGGTCTAATTCCGCTCCACTGTTTGCACGTCCTCCTCCAGCTTTGCCAATTCGATTCAGTAAACCAGCAAGATATTTTCCTTGCCGCTCTGCAACCTGTTCTAACCAAACACTAGTTCAGAATGTGGCATCCAACAGAGAAGAGCCAATGGTAACAACTCGGTATTTGATGGATGGTGTGGTTTGTTGAACACTCACCTGGGCTAAAGCGGGTAGGACTGGTTTACCGGTGCTCTCGACAAACCCACTACAGTCACCAATTGCAAACACATCCGGCACATTGGCCACCCGCAGCCACTCATCAATCCCTATTCTGTAAGCAAAGAGGAGAAGTCCAATCATTTATCACGAGATTATTGCTTAAACCATGGATGCAGATTCCCCTATCCATTTTCGTTCGTTCAGAACTTTAGATTACCAAAAGACACAATCTGAAAGAGCAACTGCAAACTTGAGCTAGCCAGAGAATAAGTAGCGGAGAATCAGAAAGAGCACACAACTTACCTTCCACCAGGAGATTTAGGCAGGTCAAGAGATTTGACAAGAGATGAAGGGCCAACGCCCGTGGACCAAACCAGTAAACCGTAAGGGACCTCTGTTCCATTATCAAGAACTATTTTGTGAGATTCAACATCCTTGACTATCCCACGAACAAGCCGAACCCCTGACTGAGGAACAATGGGAATCACAGAAAGAAAGAAAAAAAAATATTGCTTCATTCAAAAACCCATTGTCTCAACCATTAAAGGAGTATGACAAGTTGTATTTTCATCATTCAAGCAGGTCTGACCTTAGTCAATTGTTTGGTAGCATACTGGCGCAGACGATCATCAAAGGAAGACAAAATCTCATTCGCCTGATGACAACAGAAAATACACATCAATACTCCTTCCCACAATCTACTCTAGAATTGGATTCTAAACTCAAAGGAGGTTTCTTTTTGTCCTAGAAGTTACATTCCCTACTTTCCTTTTTCCTTTTTCCTTTCTTCTTAGCACAAAGGTAATCTAAAAGCCATGATATTGAAAAAAGCAACTCTTAATACAAAGGGGGACCTCAATCAAAGTAACACGGATGTAATCCTTGACGTGGGCGTGCCTTTGGCGAACATCCTTGGTGATAAAATCACTAAGCTCTCCACTGAATTCAACTCCCGTAGGGCCACCACCAACAACAACACAATGCAGCAACCTGCTCTTTTCTTGCTCCGTAGTGCCTGCAGAACAAACCGAGCCAAACAGTTCCAACCACCACCACCAACATCATCATCCCGCAGAAATTACTCTTCAGGTTTCGAATTTCCTACCTGGGACATCAGAGAGCATCAAATTCAGGAGCAGCCTCCTCCTTATCTCCTGAGCATGATGAACTTCTCTGAGGAAAATCGCATGTTCATTCACGCCACGGATGCCAAACGTCAAGGCCTCAGCTCCCAAGGCAATTACCAATTTGTCATACGATAGGTTGAACTTCCATGGGTCCGGTGTGTTTGGTCCATCAGTCACAGTCTCGCAGTGCACCTTTTCAACCCAAAAACCCCAACTTTCTGAGCTTCCTTTAGTCCTCAAACGGCAAAACAGTCTGAAAATAGAAACAATAACAGCTCAACATAACCATCAGCAGGCGTACCCGGCGATTCTCAGCGTCGATCCCCTTGCAATTGGAGAGAAAGAAATAGGAACCGGGCTCCGTCGAAATGGCGGGTTGGATCCGACCCACAGGCTCGGCAACCGACCTGAACTCCAGCGTCCCGACGCAAGTGGAGGCCAGGAGGGGCGTGAAGACCATGTGATTCCTCGGCGAAACGCATACGACGTCGTAGATGTTGGTATCGATTCCCTTCATCAGCCGGCAGCCGGCCCATCCGGATCCCAGCACCACCACCCTCGGCTTCTCGCCGCCTCTGGTGGGCTCCAAGTCTCCGCAGCGGGCCGGAGGGCGATTGTCGACGGCGGCGCCTGTGCTGAAGTACCGAAGCGAAGTCAGGAGCAGAGACGGGGAGGCTCCTCCGGCGGTGGGTATGGTTCTGACCGGCGGAGGCGGCCACGATTTGGCGGTGGCGGAAAATCGGGTCAGGGTCCGAAACCAGGCCATGATTGACCTGTGTCGAGTTAGGGAATCGGGAGTCTGGGATCTTGGACGTAGATGATGATGAAAGGAGAAATTTTCATTAGTCAGTCAAAGAGTCCAACCGCGGGTGGAAAAGCAAAATTGTGGGAGTGAGCTGAGTTTGGACTGGATCAGAGGTGGTGAGTCAGCAGCACTCCAAACGGGAACCACTCTACCCGAACCGCCGGACTGCTGTGTTTCGGATGGTTGGACGAGAGGAATTCACTTATCGGGGATGGATTTTTAAAAAATTATCGCAATACAAGTATACAATACAACACACATGCCTATATCCCATCCCTGCATCCACGTTTGATAAGTTTTATTTGGCGGAGCTTACTTAGTGCACAAGACTTTTTACGTGTGGGGATGCGGTGGCGAGTAGGGGATGGTAGCCAGATCCGAGTGTGGGGATAAGTGGATCCCGTCGACTTCAGGACATTATGTGGAAACAACACTGATGGGTCTCCCAGTGAATGCGTTGGTAAAAGAATTGTTCGATGAGGAGCAAGACAATTGGGATATGAACGTATTGGAAAGTTGCTTCTCAATCGAGACGGTGCATGCCATTATGGCCATTCCCATTCAGAACAATGAGGAGAAGGATGTGATAGGGTATATTAGCAATTCCTAGGGCAAAGCCTTAACTAAAAACACAAAGAAGGAAAGAAGACAAAAGAGCAAAAAAGACAAGGCTGGGAGACAAGAGACAAAGCCAGACACCTGACATCAGCAAGGACAAGGGGCAGGGGGACACCCTCTGTCAAAAAGGACTATGTACAGTGTCAGAAGGTCTGAGGCACCCGACCACAGCATTTATGGCTTGGCAGGCGCCCAGACCACTACCTAACCCTCAAATGTGTATAAATAGGAGTTCTCTCCTCATAAATGGCAAGCTATCTACTCTTACTCTAACTTCTCTCTACTTTCTCTCTCTATATACACTACAAGAAAACAGAGATTTTGTGTGGGTTATTTTCCCTATTTAGTGTCGGTTATAACCGACTCTAATTGCATTTGTGTCGGTTCACTAAACCGACACCAAGTTCCCCGACACCAAACTATTTAGCGTCGGTTTATATGAACCGCTGGAGAAACCGACACTAAACTTTTTTTTGTGTCGGTTCAACCGACACCAATATCTTTTACCAAAAGAAAACACATTTCGTTTATTATGGCTTTTTAGTGTCGGTTGAATAAAACCGACTCTAGTTTGTGTCGTTTATGCCCGACACCAAATTTGATATGTACCACCACAAGCAACAATTATGTGTGGGTTTTGAACCAACACAAAAATGGATACAACCGACACAAAATGGCTGCTGCTATTTTTGCACCTCTAATGTAATATATATCACTGTGCATAAGAAACTGAACCTGTTCTGAAACTGGGTAGATGCATTCATCACAAGCACATCATTCCGTACTTCTAGATTACATGTTTCAGGGTTCATCATAAAGCTAGAGTTGAAGATCTATTGTTTGGGATAGAAAACCCATTACATTTTAAGTTGCCACAAAACATACTCGCCAAAGTACTATCCATTCATTGTTCCTACAAAGTACTTCCATTAACAACGACAGTCGGCAAGTGAAGTGGCTGCAAAATATCTTCATCCCTTGAACTTCAAATCCCGAACTACTACCTAGCTGTCATTATGAGTAGAGGAATGTGAAGAAGCTTGGTTTTGGTATGGAGGCTGAAACACATCATAGATAATGATCAAAAACACGCACCAAACTATAAGAATTACAATATCAAATTCCATTAATGTCACCAGCCAGCAGCTTTATGTGAAACCAAATTGGATAAATATCACACATGAAACCTACATACATTAATTAGCTACTGCACACCAAAAGACAGATTTGTTTCTGTTTTCTACAAGACACCAAAACATGCATCCATCTATTTTTGGATTAAGCTATTCAAGCATATGCATTCAGCGCACTTCAATGATTTATGACTTACTTGATTTGACAACGCAAGCTCCGGGGGTAGAATGATTCCTGTCTGGAACAGAACATGAGCAAGTACAGCTTCTACATTCATTCTGTGTGCCCTCTCTTCCCGTAGCTGAGTTTGCACTTGCTGAAGCACTTCCTCCGGAGAAAGAGAGCTTGTGCTGCTAGAAGATGAATGATTTCCATGACACGAAGAAGAACCAAAGACCTACCAAACATAGAGAATAAATATGTTAAAATCATTTAACAAGTACATAAATGAAAAAATGTCAGCAACAACACAATTACCTGTGTAGGAGCAACTCCAGCTCCCATGGTTCGAGTACGGCCCGGATGTTCAGGACCGAGCACCTGACTAAGAGAATCGGTACGGCTAGCTTTAGCAGGTACAGTCCCAGTAGCTTCGATTGCTTTTATTTTCTCCTATATAGCGACACATAAAACCACACAAATCAAAACCATTGATAAATTCCAACATGATGCCACAACGACGGTAATGACCAATTGTTCTAATTATTCATCCAACCAAAGAGAGAGGAGAGAAGAGAGAGCCATCTTGTCCAAGTAAGCTAGCTGATGCTCTTAACGCACCATTGGCAGCAACTTCTCATTTTCATTTCTTTTCTTTTTTAAGGGTGAAATTCATTCATTAATTAGATAATGAAAAATAGAGTACAAATAAAAAAGAAAAGAGAAACAGATGCATCAGTAGAATGCTTCAACATGAAATGACTACCAATGAATAAACTATATTGATGTTCTGAAGCTTAACAAACATGTAGCAAATTAGCTAACTAATTATGGAGATGCAAGATCTCATCTTTAGACAAAGAGATGAATTAAGATATGATGATCAATTATAAATATGCACCTACTAAGCTAGCAGCAGCCATCAAACTTATTGTATGGTTGGTCAAAGGCCTCCAAACAGCAAGCAAAGACATGCTTAATACAAGGAACAAGCCGAGGCCGTAAAACAAGACAAAAGTCTCCCGCTTCCACCAATTCACAGCCTAGTGAAGTAACTGGAACTCCAAATTAAGCCTTTTAGCTTAATCTTTTGAAGCTCCAAACTGTATCTAAACTTACCTCCTAACTGTCTTTTAAGCCAGCTACACTCCTAAGAGGAAGACACCAAATCCTTGGCAACATGACCTATCTCACTATGGATACCTAGCTAGCTACTACTGATACCCATTACTAGTTGTAGTAAGACAGCAACAACCTTGAACCAAAGATTGCAAACATCATGGCCCGTTTACAGTAGCCAAAACATTACCCACTGCACTAAACTACAACTACGAAAAAACACAACTTATGCAGCAAAATTGATTTTGGTATAAGATGATTTAAATCTATCTAGGCTAGTTGATAGTAAGAACAATAGATTAAAGAAAGGGGGAAATCTTGGCAGTATACTAGTTTATCTACCAGCAAACTATACCTAACAGGGACATGGTGAATCAATCTACATACATACACAAATGAGCTAAAGCGATGGAATCAATAACATTGACACGAACCCCAAACAACAACCGCCAAAATACGCCAGACCCCAAACAAACTCGCACAAACAAAGAAGACAAAATTCCAGCTCTGTAGAGAACGACACCCGAGCTGCATAATAGAGTAAAGAAATGACTTGCATAAGAGCTCAAGGAGCAGAGGAAGATAAACCAAAGCTAATCCCTAAGCCAAACTATTGTTCCCATCATCCAGAGCCAACCCCATAATCCAAAATCCCTAATTAAGTTCTTAATATTCATGGAAATTACCTGTACTTGCTTCTAAGCGAGTCCTCCAACCCACCGCTGGCTTCCAAACCCTAATCCACCATAATTGCACGCTCTGACCAGCTATGGAATTCGCGCACTATGACCAGCTGTTCGTCAGCTAGAGGATGTTCGAACTTTTGGGGGAACTGTGGAGAGGGAAGGTTTGACGGGAGAAATGGGTTTCGGCGGGGAGGTTTTGGGGGAGGCGGGAAGTTTTAGTTTGGGGTTTCCCACTTCTCAGTCAATAAAATAAATCTGATCAAAACCAAAAACCAATGAAAAAATCAATTGTTTTATTTAAATTTAGTTAAATTAGACATGAAGTCGGTTCAAACCGAGACAAATCAAACCGACACTACACCAAGAGAATAATATGTCAGTTCAATAAGGGACACAAATTTCCGACACAAAATTCATAGTTTGTGTCGGTTCAATGAACCGACACAAAACAACCCACACAAAACCCCTGTTTTCTTGTAGTGATACTTCTTCTCTTTTTCTACTTCGGACGAGGCGGGGCGCCTACCCCCTCAAGGTCTTGTCTGACACCCCAAACCCCTTGGACCCGAGCGACCCCCAGTCGATCGGGCTCAAACAATTGGCGCCCACCGTGGGGCCAAGCATGACTTTGAAAGACGCTTCCAACTCAAAGAAGGGGGAAGAAAGGAGTCCGGCACCAACAAAGACACCACTCAAGCAAGTTGTTGGTCGTGAGGCAATCAATCCTCAACCACTCACCATCCAAGGTTTGGAAGCATCCGACGACGATGATCCGTCAGGAGACGGGGAAGGCACGGAGCGCATGGAGGACCAACTAGCGAAGCTTCGGGAAAAGCAAGCACTTCAAATGGCGAGCATGCAAGGCCAACTAGACCAAGTCATGACCGCGTTGACAGCATTAACCAAGGCCAACGATCAGGCGCCTCCCAATTCCCAAGAAGCCGCAGAGGAGAGGAGGCGCCTCCGAGGAAAGATGCAAGAGGTCGAGGTGCTACCCATGAACTCCCCACGGGGGGGTGTGGGCGCCTCACCAAATGAGGACGCAATTGAAGCTGACGACGATGTCTACCTGGAGAAGTACGCCCGACTCAACTATGGCGCTTCGGAAGAAAGGAGTGCCCAAATCATTAGACAACCGTTGTCAAAGGGAGTGCTCGAAACGCCGATCCCACCAAATTTCGCAAGCATTGGCCTACCCTCATATGAAGGAAAATCTGATCCAGAGGATCACTTGAGCGCGTTCTGCCAAAAAAATGCAACTTCTCAATGCGTCTGACGCTGCCTTGTGCAAGGCGTTCCCCTCAACCTTCACCGGAGGATGTAGTAGCTGGTACTCCTCGCTTCCAGAGGGCATCATTCAGAGCTTCGCTCAATTCGCTTTGTTATTCACAACAAAGTACGCAAGCCAGAAGAAGCAAACGCTGACGGTTCGTGCACTTGTCAATCTTAAGCAAAGAAAGGGGGAGAGCCTCAGGCACTTCATGGGGCGATGGTGGGAGGTTGCATCCGATGTCAAAGACCTAACCCCTCCACCTTTGCGCACCAACCTAATGGATGCAAGCACTAATGAAGAGCTAAGGCGCTCCCTAGCCAAAAGAGAGATAAGGCAGGTAGCTGAGCTGGAAGAAAATTTTCAAAAGGCAATCCTCATGGAGGAGGCGCTAGGGGCAAAGGAGGAGGAAAAAGTAGGTGGCTCCAGGCGCCCAGCTCAAAATGGGAGAGGCGAGGCGCTTAGGACCAGAAGGCGGAGTCCGGATCGACGAGATGATGCCCGGCGTCCCAATGTCTGGACAAGAAGAGACGTTCTTGCAAATTCACAAGAGCCTCGCCGCGACCGAACCAACCGCGAGAACGCGAATCAATCTCGCGGGCAAGCAAACATGTACTGCGAGTACCACAACTCGCGCACCCACAACACCGTTGACTGCCACTACTTCAAAAAGGCACTCAAGCTAATCTCTGATCGAGGGGGAGTAAGAGAAATGATCCAGAAAGCAGAACAGGGAAATCAATCCCCGCGGGAACGCAGTTGCTCCCCCACCGCAAGGCCACCGGTGCAGGAGCGCCTGGGTCCCAACCCGAACGTCAAGGAGATAAGAACCATCACAGGAGGGGAGCCCAGCCGAAAGAAAAAGCGCAAGGGGCAAGCAAGTGACACGTGGTGTATGAAGATCGCAAAATAAGAAGGTCCCGACTTGTCATTTACGTCGCAAGACTATCCTCCGGAGGGACCATCTGAAAGCCTTCTTGTCATCAACATACAAGTGGAAGGGTGCAAGGTATTCAGAGTGCTAGTAGATAGTGGGAGCTCCGCCGACATACTCTTCTATTCCTGTTGGCGCCAAATGCAGACACCCCCTGAGGTTATGAAAGCCTTAGAGGCCCAACTTGTCGGTTTTTCCGGAGCAAAAGTGAAGGTGTTAGGAACTGCGCGCTTACAGGTCAAGGTAGGAGACGAGGAGCCAAGTGCCACACACCCAGTGGACTTCCACATTGCCGACTGCCCGTCCGCATATAATGCCATTCTAGGGAGGCCCTTCCTAGCTCGGTTTGGAGCTGTAGCCTCAACCTGTCATCAGGCAATGAAGTTCCAAACACCCCAGGGAATGGGGATAGCCAGGGGGGATGTGAAGGCGGCAAAGTCGTGCTATGCGGCGACCATCCACAAGCCAAAAATACACACAATTGATGCTAGACCAACGGAGGTGCCGCGCCCAGGAGCAGTTGATTCAGAGATAGAGCTACCATTAGACCCTGACGACCCAAGCCGAGTCGTCCGACTTTCTGCCCATCTACCGGAACAGATGCGCCTCCCAATGATCAACCTGTTAAGGGAGTACTCAGATTTATTTGCTTGGAGCCCCGAAGACATGCCAGGCATCTCTAGGGATCTTATGGAACATAAGCTCTCCGTAAAGCCAGAGAGCGTGCCAGTACAGCAAAAAAGGAGGGGAGCATCGTTGGAAAGAAGGGTGGCTATGATGGAAGAAGTACAGAAGCTACTTAAGGCAGGGTTCATCCGAGAGGTGCAATACCCGAAGTGGCTAGCAAACACAGTGCTAGTCAAGAAACACAACGGGACATGGCGAATGTGTATTGACTTCACCTCACTAAACAAAGCATGTCCAAAGGACCCATTCCCACTGCCAAGGATTGACCAGCTGGTCGATGCCACCTCCAACCACGAGATGTTGAGATTTCTCGACATGTTTTCAGGGTACCACCAAATCCCTCTCAGCGAAGAGGATCAAGAGAAAACAGCTTTCATGACCCCGTACGGGAACTATTGCTCTGTGGTAATGCCATTCGGCTTGAAGAACGCAGGTGCCACCTATTAGAGGATGGTGGACAAATTCTTTGGAGGACAGATAGGGCGAAATGTGGAGGCATACGTAGACGATGTATTAATCAAAAGTAAGAAATAAGGTGACCACCTGAGCGACTTAAGGGAGACTTTTGAGAACCTGAGGCGTCACAATCTGAAGGTTAACCCCCTCAAGTGCGTATTCGGGGCAGGTGCGGGTCAATTCTTAGGCTTCATGATCACTCGCCGTGGTATTGAAGCTAATCCGAAACAGATAAAGGCAATTGCCGAACTCAAGTCACCAAGAACAGTAAAAGAGATTCGGGCATTGGCAGGAAAACTCG